TGGGACGCTTTTTCCCTCCCACCTGCTCCCCAAATGCCGCCGGCCTTCACGCTGAGCTGGACACCTTGCCCTCCTGCTGCTGGCAAATTCCTATGCCTCTGACAAAGCTTCAGCTCCAGAGCCTCTGCTCCCTGTGTAATTCCCTAGTCCCACTCCCCACCAAGCCTGGGGTGCGGCACGCGGGGGCGGGGAGGTGTAAGGGGAGGCAGGAAACACCTGGGCGTGCACAGAGGGGTACACGTGCGCGTGCCCGTGCCACGGTCCACGTGCAGCGCCCCCAGCTACACCCCCTCTTCCGTCCAGGTCCCGCCGCAGCCGTCAGACCCTGAGCTGCGTCTCCCGCCCCCAAGTTTGCAGACGTGCAGGGAGGGGGCCGCGGCGCCTCCGCGCTCGCGCCTGCGCACTCAGCCCAGTCAAGCTGAAGTCCCGCCTCCAGGCGACAAATCTGCGCTACTATTGGTGACTCCAGGTAAGCGAGTTGCTGAGCCAACAATGAGCCTTCTCCCTTCGGGTGAACCGGGTCTGGGCCTCCCTACGCGTGATCTGGGGCCGCGGTGACGTCAGTCTCGTTTCGCGGCTCGTTGTCCTGGAAACCGTGTTTCCATCCCCGCGGGTTCCGGGGCCGCCCCCTCCCATTCAGCTTTTTCTCAATGGAGGGAGGGGGGTGGTGCAGGGCCTGTCCCGCCCCTTGTGATCCCGGCAGAGTTCTGCCCTTGGCGCCTCAGTTTACCTTTCGGTGCCTCCCATCTCACACCTGGCCTGCTCTTGTGGCCCCTCTGACCACTGCACCACCCCCTCAGGCCAGGCTGAGGTCAGGCTGGCCCCGATGGTCCTGGGGCACCTGGTGGAGCAGGTGTGGGCACTGAGTGCAGGCGCAAGGGTTAGAGGAGCAAATGGCCTGACTGTCCCCATCCCAAGGTAGTGTCTTTCCAGGCCCCAGAGCAGGACGGTGTCCCTCAGACCTTCAGAGCAGGGCCTCAGACCCTCAGGTCCCCCAGAGCAGCATCGTGTTCCCTCAGAACCCCCCCCCCTCCAG